CCCGCCCCCCCCCCCCCACCCCGATGTTACACAAATATATAAATATTTGGACTTGAATTCACAGACCATGCCAGAGGTTTAAAAGAAAGAAAAAAAAAGTATTTTTTAATGTTCTTTTTGGTTGCTAAGAAAATTTGTAATTCATAATTCATGTTAGAGTTTTCATTTATTATTTACTTCTATGATTAGCATTGCTGTATTTGCTGGAATTACAGGCTTTTGTTGGGATTGTGATGCTGCTTTGTTAATATTGTCATAAACTCACGTTTTAGCATTTGCTAAGATGAGGGAAGAATAGTCGGAGATTTCTGTTTGCTCATCTAGGTTTGCTCAATCTAGTGCTTAGGAATGCCAAAGGTTTTCTTTTTTTCTTAATTTGTTATGTTTTGTTTTAATGTCTCTTTCTTATCTGGCGTTTGTACAGCCATGATTCTTGTTGGTGCATAATTACTGACGTTAAAAGCACTGAGGAGACCATTCTGATTGAGATTATAGTTCCTATTAAAATATGTATTTGTGGGAAAAACTAGGAGTCTCTTTGTGTGTTGTGTTTTCTTGTGATATTATCAATTCAGGTTATTTTGCGAACGTATAATGATCGATAGTTTGCCGGTAAAGCCCACGGAGTTGATTGGCAATGTTGCTCTTGGTATTTTCGACATCCAGTCTCAAGTTGCATTCGATCAGCTCAAATCCTCTCGTTGATTTTGACTGATTGAAATTGTTGGTCTTGTTTAGAGTGGCTTGGCCAATAGATGCCACAATTATCTTGTTCTTTTTCCTGTTAAACTTGTAGTGGTAGCACGCCAGACCACTGTCAAGTTGGAGAATGTCTTAGTGTTTGCTTCTATACTGCCAGATCTATCTGAACTGCCATGCTTTGCCCTGGTGCGCGCATCATGTATTCAGCAGCATCCATGGTACATTCAGCTTCAGTGTATGAGACATGGATTAAGCGTGTTGCATCTATTTGCACTTCCACCGTGGAAGATTCAATGTTCAGATAGATTACGACGCAGATAAGCTTGCCGCAGAATTGGTTCTGCAAGCAGTACGATTCTCTTTTCTAGAGATTGGGCATCAAGATGTTTGCAAGGGCCAAATTGAGTCAACGATTGCCATTTCGCTAAAACTGCAGCAGTTGACTTCAGAACCTCTGGCAGATCTGGATGGGTTAATTTAGAAACACGTTTTATAGCGATAAGAATTTTATAGGGAAAGATATGGCAGAAGTCGGTTTCTCCGTTGCAGAATTTCTACTCTTCAACTCTAGAATTGTTTAGCTTGTCACGCACCTCGCGACTTCGCGCAGCTTTAGTTCCTTAAAGTAAGAGCCTGTTCAATGTCATGAACTTCTGTGTTCTCCACAAAACAATGAGAATTTTCAACTCCACGAGGAGATGATGGCATGAGATTTGAGGATAGGAGAGGCTTGGTCCAATTTTGCACCCCAAGGCTCGTTAAGGCTTGTGAACTAGAAAATTTGAACTTTTTTCAGGCTCCAGTCCTATTGCCAGTTACGGATCCCAACATTAAATTTATCAAACCAGGTGCAATTTGTGAAATGGAATGCCTGTCATGCCACGCTTCAATGTTGTCCACAGAAACCATCCCCAACAAAACTTCATATTGGCATAAGCAACCGCAGCTCTCATATTATACCCCTTAGTCGTCACATCAATGCGCCTCGATGGCAATCAGCCATGTGCTTATTCTGTTGCTTCCTTCAATTTGGGAGTTTGCTTTTGGTAAGCACAGGACAGACAATCAAAAGCCATAGTGAAAAAACCCAGTAAAATCCACATCATCTTTGTGACGTTTCATGATCATTTTGAGCTCATTTATCCTACAGATACAATAGGCAGAAATGATATGGTACAGACTTCTGAAACAGAAATTTCAAGAAACAGCAACCAGGAATTTCAAGAAACAGAAAAACGCTGAAACCAGGCCACTCATCACTTGTGTAGTTCTGAAACAAAACAGATGCTGTTTTTTATGCTTCCTGGGTACCATAAAATGATGCCAATAAATAAAACAGCAATTATTCAACTGTCAACTGTCTCCTACAACATCAAAGTCACAGTCCTATTCTAACATCCTTCTGCTTCATACTTTGGTTTTTTTTCCTTCTCTTTATTGAGATTCTAGGGAGTTGAGGCTGAGGGAATGGGTGATAGCTCTATTATTTGTTCAGCGAAACAAGTCATCCAACTAAAATGTTTCTCAATTCCCTGAAAAACTACAACACATATCTACCGCTAATAAGGTCGGTACCTTCTTCCGCAATTGCCATCATCACCACTACTACCAGCTCGCCCAGGCCCACTTGGACTATTGCTCCGATCAACTCTTTGAGGTCGAGGCTGCAGCATCTGTACTCCAGGCTGCTGACTGCAGAGGTACCAAAACACCAAACCAAAGGTTGGAAATCCATCTAAAATCTATACCGCTTGCAATTAAGACAGAAGGAAAAGGCAACTCACAGGACGTAGCCAATTCGACCATCTGGTAAAACCATCGGTACCATATGCATTCCTGCTGGCATTGGACCCCTACCATATATAACCGGCTGTTTGCAACACAAGTTGTTCATGAGATTAAATTTGATACTACAGGAACCGAACCATATGTCAGAATGACCAAGATACATGCTGAAATCTGGCAGCAACATCAAATCCAGTGCCCAAAGAGCCATATGGATTCCCTGCAAATGCACTATATGCAGGAAGGGGGACTGGGTTTGGATTAACTCCAGCATTGTAAGGATAAGATCCATCAGGTTTTTTATCAGCCTGAGGCTTAGCAAGAACAACCTCCAACAACTGACCTGCAGTTAAATTCATTAAACATGTTATTTGTGGAATCACATCCTATTTAACCATAGTATTCATTTTGTGTCACAAGCATGCATCACTAGATTTTAAACACCTAAAATCAGTATAATGCCCATGTAAGATGGATACATAAATAAACCTCTTTTCATCAGAGGAGGTGGGGGGAAGGACCCTCTTCTTACTGATTCCATAGACTTGCCAGGGCAACATCTTGCTACATTTATCATAAGATATTAAATTCCAAGTTAAACATTTTCCATTGAAATTACTGACTATACAAGGCTCCAAGTGTCACCCCCACCCCCTTTTTTTTTCCCTTCACAAAAGATGAACCACAGCCACAATTCACCAGCATGGAAATGGGGTCTCATTATACCAGTATACAAGTTTTAGATTAAAAAAAAAAGGAGCATGAAAATACAGCCCCTGACTCAAGAGAGGTCCTCAACTGATTATGCTATATACCTTAGCATCAGAAATTTCCATATCTAGTCTTTTAAGATCAATAACATGAGACAACAATGATTAGACAAGAGGTGTGTCAACTAAATAGGCTATACCTCTGCTCAAAGTCCCTATCTAAACTTCTAAAATTCACTTATATGAGACATCAATGATCCAAAGAGCGGTGCAACAATCAATTGAGCTATCCATCAGAAAAGGAAAATTCAGACATATATTAAAAGAAGATAGAGCCCTTTTTTTTAATAATCCAAAAAAAAAGGGAAAAAAAGAAGAGGAGGAACACATGATTACAAACCTCCATGACTTGTTGCTATCCTTAGACATCATACACATGTCCTAAATCTTAGCAGGGCCACCCGTATGTTGGCAGCCGAAAGCAATGAATTCAACATATCCATAACTGAACAACATAATAACTGTTTCTAAATCTTCACACTTTATGACACAGCATGCGTTAGACAACAAGGCCTTAAAAGACATACTAATTTTCAAGCCTTTGGTAGCTTCCTAATTTGCAATAGATCTTGTTAGGCACCATCTGGATCAAGGTCAACTTTGGATGGCACCTTTACTTTCCAAATCTAAATTGCTAGAGAAAATGAAATGTGTTTGGGGTTTGGGAAGAGATGAGAAAGAAATGATGTTCAAAATAAGTCCCACAAACTCTGCAAGGAACAGTATCTGATATCAGACCTTGCATAGTATGAACAAGCATAACAGTGATTAACAAAAGATCTTCAGTTTCACTGTCATTACAGTTCTTCAAATAACCCATATTCTAATTGAAATCAAAACCCTTCATGGAAAGAAAACTAGAAATAGGTGAAATGTACACATTGTAGAGACGAGGGTCTTCCCAGAAATGAAGCAGGAATCATTATGAATTTTATATTTAAAGAGGGAAGGACTGTATAATTAATTCCTGAAGGCCCAAAAAATACTGTCCAAAAGGTATTCCAACATTTCCATCTCAACCACCTGACAAAAGCCTGTACTCAAGGATACATACCTGTGCCATATAGAATCTGATTTTCATGAAATTGTTGTAAACACCTCCTCACCAGAATTATTATTTGAATCAAGTGAAGAAATCCCAAAACCCCATATGTTTTGTCATCACAAAATATCTCCTTCCAGTCAAAAGGAAATTTTGACATCAATGTTACCAATCCAAATGCAAAAAGAAAAAGAATAAGGATTTAAAGAGAGATGAAAACTGCCAGGAAATGCTAGACAAGCATGAATGAAGAACAGCCTTCTTTCCAGAGGGAGGGAGAGATGGCACAATCCTGTTCATCAAACCAATTAGGATCTTGGACAGATTGCACTTCCATCAAGAGGAACTATAAAATATTTTAGATGCCAATCCAAATGACACATGCCCAATTCTAAGTAAATCTCTAAGCAACACTTTTAATCCTATTAATCTACAGCGTAGGCACCTTTAAA